GAAACGTTGATGCTTTCTTGCATCTATACCGAATCTTTTAACATGGAAATTCTGAATCACAAATGAAAATAAACATGTTCATTTATTGCGCAATCCGTTTGGTTTGTGATTTGTCTACATTTTGTATTGGAGTTTAGAAATTCACATGACCGCAGCTTGTCACAAACCCTGGCAAGTTGCAGCTCGTAACTAAACACATCTTTAAGTGTAGTAGTGTCTACATGTTTTGTTTCAGTAAGAACTGCTTGCTATAGTACTGAAAAGAGTAGAATATTTTTTACTTTACATAAAAAATTCAGTGCACAAAATCAAGGTCACGCAGTCCAATTTAGAGAAATTCTTTCTATGAGTTGACAGTTGTAATAAAAAATGCACATGATAATGTTCACTTTGATGCTCTGTGTAACTTCATTTTTATAAGTAAATCAGAATATGCAGTAGTTAAGATCCCAGTTAATGAAAATTAAAATCATAAATTAAATAAATCTACTAGTGTAAGTATAAATGGTAGAATAAATCCTATTAATATTTTCATTTCATGATTTATTTCTAGAAGAACCAACTGAAAAATAAGCTACTTTCACAGTTCTAATATGAAACAGCAAATTTACCAGTGGCACAAGCCATAAGGAAGTAACTTTTTCACACTAATGATGATCAGTTACTCTGATCATGTTGGAATCTTGCAGGTTTTAAAGCATTCTTTGTATTTAAGACATTTAAACATATAACACTTTTCATTGTGATGATATTTTTATCATTTTCTTTGGATGATAACCTCTGTTTGCATTATTATTATCAAAGTTCTACAATTGCATCTACATATATAGGAAGTCTCACACCTTGTCAACTTGTCACACAGCACAGCCCTCACCTTTGAAAAACAGTACTACTTTTCCTCTCTCATTAGTTCATGCTCTTACAATCCTAGTCATCTCTTTAATACTTTTAACTCTCTTCTTCACCCAGCTGTAGCCACCCCACAAACTAATCTTTCATCTGATAGCTTTGCATGTTACTTTACTGACAAGATTAAAAAGTTAAGGAATGAATTCTCCCCTCTCTATCTCAACCTCACTTGGACCATTCCATCCTACCCTCCAAGACTTCTCTCCAGCTACGCTTCTCCTTTCCTCTCATCCCACCACGTGTCTGCTTGATCCCATCCCATCCCACCTCATCAGATCTCTCACCCCTTGTCTGGTGCAGTCGTTAACACACATCTTCAACTGCTCTCTTTCTTCTGGAGTTGTCCCAGCCCCCTTAAACATGCTACTGTTGTACCTGTCCTCATCTCTTGACCCTACCTCCCCTTCATATGCCCCTGCTCCTTTTCTCCTCAAAACTTTTGGAAAGACTTGTCTTTACCCGTATGTCTCACTTCCTCAGTTCCAACTCTCTCCTTGACCCTCTTCAGTCTGGATTCCGCCCCCTCCACTCCACAGAGACTGATCTGACCAGAGTTACAAATGATCTAATTGCAGCTTAATCCAAAGGCCACTACTACATACTAATTTTTATTGACCTCTCTGCTGCCATTGACACTGTTTATCATGGCCTCCTTCTCCTAACTCTTCAATTTCTTGGTCTCTGTGACACAGTCCTCTCATGGTTCTCCTCCTATCTTTCCCAACTCTTCTTCAGTGTCTCTTTTTCCAACAACACCTCCTCTTCTCATCCTGTCTAGTTGGAGTCACTCAAGGTTCAGTTCTTGGTCCCCTTTTGTTCTCTCTCTATACTGCCTGTCTTGGCAAACTCATTAATTCATTTGGATTCCACTACCACCTGTATGCTGACGACACCCAGATATACCTCTCCTCCACTGACCTCTCCCCTGCTGGCCTACAATGTGTCACCAATTGCCTTTCTTATATCTCTGATTGGATGTCCTCCCACTTTCTGAAACTCAATCTCTCTAAAACGGAGTTTCTTATTTTTCCTCCTTAACACTGATCCTCCTCCTTCACTCTCCCTGCAGGTTGACTGTACCTGCCTCACCCCATCCTTTCAAGCTCATTGTCTTGGTGTAATTTTTGATCCTGGCCTCAACTTTGTACCTCTTGTCCAGCCTGTTGCTAAAACCTGTCCATTCTAGCTTAAAAACATTGCCTGCATACACCCCTTTCTTACACAAGATGCTACCAAGGAGCTTGTTCATGCTCTTGTAATATCTCCCATGGATTAGTGTATTTCTGTCCTAATTGGTCTCCCAAGTATCCGTACTTCCCCCTACAATCTGTGATGAATGCTGCTGCCAGGCTGATCTTTCTTTCCTGTTGCTCCTCTCACACATCACTGAACTGTCGATCCTTATACTGTCTTCATGTTCCGTAGAGGTGTCAATTTAAAATACTAACCCTTAACTAGCCCCTTTTACATTTCTTCACTGATTCATAGGTATGCCCTCTGTCGGTCTCTCTGCTCTACTGGTGACCTTCTCCTGTCCGTTGCTCGCACCTTACTGCAAATTCACGCCTGCAAGACTTCTCACGGATGGCTTCTTTCCTTTGGAACAGCCTGCCTACCCCTGCAAGATTCTCCCCTAGTCTTCTATCCTTTAAGATACCCAACTTTTAAGGATTGCTTATTGTCACACCTAGGGTGCATAATTCATGATTGCACTATGGAATATTATCCTTTAATGTAGTAGTGCCTGTCTGGTAGAGATTGAATATTGTCAAGGTCAAAATGGGTTAATTTGATTGTATGAAAGATCAGATGACAGAAAGGGTAATTTAAATTGCATAGGAATGTGAAAAGGGTTTTATCCTATGAATGGATCCTGTGATTACTCAAAGGCTCTGAGAGGTGTGAGATTCTACACTGGCAAGGCCTAAATGTCTGGCTCAGCCATATGGCCTGTATTTCTTAATTGATGGGCCAAACTCTTTGAAATGTTAATGGCCATTAACCTTGTTCCAGTATCATATTCAAAAGGAAAAAACATTACTATTTACCCACAGAATAATAATTAAGCCTCATTTTTGTTATATTTGGAATGTGACAAGCTCCATCTTCTAAACAAGCCCAAACATGATTGGCATAACTTAACCATAGGGGAAGGAATTGTGATGTCCACCATATTGGGTTGCAACTAAGGTCTGAGACATATGTATAGAATGGGAAAATAATAGCAAATTCATAGATGCAATTATTATTTCTTTGGCAGGTACATAGGAGAAGATATAACCAAAGGGATGATGTTGGTCTGGAACACAAGGGGGTGGTCACTCATAGATACCCTTTGACTCCACCTCTAGACCAGATGTAGAAATCCACAGGGTATATATCCAATAATACTAAAAAGGTCTTGGTACTTGCTTGGGGCCAAAATCTAATTTTGAGTAAGTCACTATCTTCCTTGCCGGAGACCCCTGGGCAGACGTTTTACTTTGAAAACAAGTAAGTGTTTAACCCCTTAAGGACGGGTGACGGACGAGGTCCGTCACAGAGGGGAGACCCTTAATGACGAGTGACGGACCTTGTCCGTCACTCGGTAAAATTAACCCTGGATCGCCACTATCACTATCGCGGCGATCGCGGGGTTAATGATGCTCCGGTATGCCTCTGCATTAGAGGCATACCGGGAGCACCCGATCTCGCTGCCCAGCACATGTGCTCACATTGACCGCAAGTCAGAGCGAGCACATGTGCTCTGCATACTTACCTTCCGGCTCCCTGCACTTCCTGGTTCTGTGTGAAGTGCAGGGAGCCGGAACAGTGATGATCCTGCTCCCTGCTGTAAAAAAAATAAAGTTAATTTAAAGTCCCACCCCCCTTTACCCATTGTAATAAAAAATAACCCCTTCCCTGCCAATTGATCACTGACTACAGTGATCAATTGGCAGGGATTACATTTTACTATGATCTGATTTTTTTTTTTAACCCCTGAGAGTTAATTCTTTTTTTTTTTTTTTCAGGTAATTAAAATATTTTAAAATTATATATTTAGCTAGCTGGGGTGGGTGGAAGTTAGTGGGGAATTGGGGGATTTGGCGTTAGGCTAACTAGGGGTTAACGTCAAAAAAAAGTTTTAAAATAAACTTTAAAAAGTTAAAAATTAAGCCTAAAAAAACGTTTAAGTAAAAAATACAAAAAAACACCCTCCTTTACCTAGTCCAAATAAAAATTAACCCCTTCCCTGCCAGTTGATCACTGCTTACAGCGATCAAATACAGATCACAGTATTATACTGTGATCTAATTTTTTTTAACCTCTGAGGATTAACTTTTATTAATTTTTTAACCCTCAGGGGTTCAATTTATTTAGTTAATTTAAATATTTTATAACTATATATTTTGCTAGCTGGGGTGGGTGGGAGTTATGGGAAAATGGGGAATTTACGGTTAGTGCTGCTTACTGCTAGTTAGGGGTTAACGGTAAAAAAAAAAACTTAGAAAAATGTTAAATCTGTAAAAAAAATTTAAGAAAGTTTAGGAAAGTTTAAAAAAATTAATAAGCAAAACAAAAGTTTCAAAACTAGTTTTTAAAAGTAAAAAAGTTAAAAAAGTTAAAAAAATAAATTTTAAAAACGTTCATTACCACTATACCTGGAACAAACTAGAGAAAAAATTATCCCACGCCAAGGTTCAAAATATGCCTTTTGAATTACCCCAGGGTGTATTCTTTAATAAATAGTATGTGTTTGTGGGGAAGTTTCAATACCCAACCGTCTAAACTACTCCAAATTGGAACATGGACACAGCGTAAAACTTCAAAGTTATAAAAAAACTGAATGGCTGCGTCTCAAATGCGCCCCTTCAACATCCACATATACCTGGCAAAGGTACATACGGGGGTATTGCTGTACTCAGCCGACATAGCTGAGCAACATATGAAGTATTATACAGTCATAGCACACATAAGGTTTGCAAAATATGCTGCGCAAACTCACTTTGTATGTCAAAAAGGCAGAAAAAATGCTTATTACCACTACACTTGGTACAAGCTAGCGGAAAAATGATCCCACGCTAAGGTTCAAAATATGCCTTTTGAAATACCCTGGGATGTCTTCTTTAAGAAATGGTATGGCTTTATGGGGTATTTGGATTATATAGCCTGGTAAAATACTCTAAAATGGGACATAGGCACAGCATAAAAATTCAAAGTTTGAAAAAAACCTGGAATGGCTGTGTCCCAAATGTGCCCCTCTGATGTCCACACATACCTGGCAAAAGTACATACGGGGGTATGGCTGTACTCAGCCGACATAGCTGAGCAACATATGAAGCATTATACAGTCGTAGCACACATAAGGTTTGCAAAATATACTGTGCAAACTCACTTTGTATGTCAAAAAGGCAGAAAAAAAACGCTTATTACCACTACATCTGGTACAAGCTAGCGGAAAAATGATCCCACGCTAATGTTCAAAATATACCTTTTGAAACACCCTGGGGTGTCTACTTTAAGAAATGGTAGGCCTTTGTTGGGTAGTTTGAATTTAAAACCTGAGAAGATGCTTGGAAATTGCACATAGGCCCAGCGTCAAAATTCAAAGTTCGGTAAAAACGGATATGGCTTGGTCTCCTATATGGCACTGTAGCTTCACGAAATAGTGCCAAAGACATTCATTGGGGTGTCTTTTTACTCAGAAGACTTAGCTGAGCATAATTTGGGAGGTTTAAACTTAGTGGCACATATGAAATATACAAAACGCCCAGCAAAAATGCAATTCGTATGTAAAAAACGCACAAAATTATTTTTTACCACATATTTTGGCATATATTGGTGAAAAAATGGGGGTATGTTAAGGCACAATATGCACCTTATGAGATACCCTGGAGTGTCTACTTTTACAAATGGTAGGCCTTTGTGGGTTTTTTTTGAACAGTCAAACTGTTATTATACCCCAAATGGAAGCTATGGCTCATTAAATCCATCTCTCAAAATTCTACTGTGAATATTGAAAAGGACAGGTATCCTGTATGGCAATGTAACTTCACGAAATAGTGCCAAAGACATACAATGGGGGTATAATTTTTCTCAGCAGATGTAACTGAACACAAAATAAAACTTTGTACAGGAATAGCACACACCAACTTTACAAAATATACATGAGAATTTCTTTGTTATAAGTTTGTGTGCCAAAAACCAAAAAAAACACAATTTTACTCCAATATTTAGCAGAGGTTGGCGGTGAAATGGCTATGTAGAAAGTGTCAAAACAACCTTAGGTAAATAGCCTGTGATGTCTACTTTATATAAATATATACTTTTGTGTGGCAATTTTGTTTTCTTTTATGGCTATTAAGCTTACAAGGCAAACATACCAAATTCTAAGATCACTCCACATTAAAAGTCTATTTTACTCCTTGTGCTTTGTGACCTGTAACTACCAAAAAAAACTTAAAATCCCAGACACATTATATATTCTGTAAATCAGAACAACTAAATTAATTTATTTTTAATTACTTTTCTTAACCTGCACTAAATATGCACACATTATTATTGCAAAAACTGTAAAAAAAACCACATTTTAATTTTTTTTTACATTTTTCTGTATTTTTTTATAACAAATAAGCATTTATATATGTGTGTCTTACATCAAATTAAAGCCCTTTCTGTCCTTTAAAAAACGATGTATAATATGTGTTGGTGCAAAAAAATTAGTAAAATGCAAATTGCAGTTGAACGCACAGAGCAAAAAATGAAAAAAAATGCTGTTGTCATTAAGTGAAAGACAAGCTTTTGAAGCTCTGTTCTTAAAGGACCACTCTAGGAACCCAGACCACTTCAGCTTAATGAAGTGGTCTGGGTGCCTGGTCCAGCTAGGGTTAACCCATTTTTTCATAAACATAGCAGTTTCAGAGAAACTGCTATGTTTATGAATGGGTTAAGCCTTCCCCTATTTCCTCTAGTGGCTGTCTCATTGACAGCCACTAGAGGCGCTTGCGTGCTTCTCACTGTGATTTTCACAGTGAGAGCACACCAGCGTCCATAGGATAGCATTATGAATGCTTTCCTATGTGACCGGCTGAATGCGCGCACAGCTCTTGCCGCGCGTGCGCATTCAGCCGACGGGGAGGAGAGAAGGAGGATCGGAGGAGGAAAGCTCTCTGCCCAGCGCTGGACAAAGGTAAGTTTTAACCCCTTTCCCCCTTCCAGAGCCAGGCGGGAGGGGGACCCTGAGGGTGGGGGCACCCTCAGGGCACTATAGTGCCAGGAAAACGAGTATGTTTTCCTGGCACTATAGTGGTCCTTTAAGGGTTTAAGACTTCTGTTTTTATCCATTTTGTTTTTATCTGTTGTTGGTGTAAATGATTTATTTTTCCCATCTATTATTTGTATGCACAGTAACTATTTTTTTGCTCATAATAAATATTCCTTTATTAATTCTGCCTTTGTCTGGTAAAGCATCATGTTAACTGAAGAGACTAATTAGTATTTTTGCAATTCCTTAAATATTGTGCTATAAGTAAATACGTTGTATTTGGTGGATTTTTATAAATAAGTTGTATTTGGTAGATTTTTATTATTGATTTATCTGGGGGACCAAGGCACCCCATTTATAAATAGTCCTGGTGGTGGCAGCATTAAAATAGTAATATTTATATTATTATGTTTAAGTGTGGGTGGTGTTAAGGGGGATTTTGTCATTATTTCCAGTCTAGTGCAGACAAATAGTGAACACTCTTGAAGTAGCGTGCGTTCGTGACACTTATGGCCCCCAAAAGTAACTTCTATCTTTCAATCCTTCCTTTTGCTCACTCCTAAAGGGCCACTCTTACCTCCAGTTCTGCTACTTTTCCACCATGTCTATTTGCTGTCTCCCTCAATATCCTTCCTATTGTGTTTTTATAACCCACCCTCTCTAGACTGTAAGCATGTTTGAGCAGGGTCCTCAACTACCTATTGTTCTTGTTACATTTTGTGATTGTCTCATTTGGTAAATTCCCCTCTTATTGTAAAGCTCTGCGGAATAAGCTAGCGCTATATAAAAACTAATAATAATAATAAATATATACAAGCTCTATCTTAACTTATCCGGTTCCAGTTAATGTGTGCTAGGCAGTAAGTAGGTAAAAACATATAGCTATTTATTTTATTTATTTATTACTGGCATTTATAAAGTGCCAACAAATTCTGCAGCGCTGTACAATTGGGTAAACAACACAATAAAAACAGACTGATACAACAGGTAGAGGGCCCTGCCCGTGAGCTTGCAATCTAAAGGTTAAAATGGGGAGATGAGACAAGAGGTAGCAGATGAATTTGTATGTGATGACAGAGAGAGTTAATGGTATAAGTACAGCAGCTGATAACATGTGAAGGTAATAGGGAGCTGTACTATTTTTGTACACCTTTTTAACTGTTGAAGATGCTGAGCAATTCACAAATGTCTTCCTAATGATTTGGTGATGATAATAACTGAGGTATGTGTGTTAGCTAGGCAATGAAATTAGTCAGAAAGTCAGAAAGGGTAGTGAACTTACACAATTCAAAAGCTTTAAAATTCAGACATTGAAAACAACTTAAAGAATTTTGCAGATTGATATTAAAATTATTTATAGAATATTAAATTTGTCTACTTGTGTTACTAAAGGTGATATCTGCACTGAAAGATCCAATCTAGTTTGTTTTTATATCTTCATTAGCAAGAGAAACATCTAATACAAAACTAGTTATGTTCATAGCCAATTATTATTAATTTAACAATGTTTTTTTTTTTTTTCATTTCTAGTTATGTACACAATGTACCTCAAATTATAAATCTAAATCAGTGTTCAAGAAATTCATGGTCGGGCAAGGTTCTGAGAGTGATTGTATGCTGAGTAAAAAGCTCATACAGACAGCTCTAGTCCCAAATCAGTTAATATTAGCATTTATCTGGTGATTAATACTTGCATATTTGTATACAACAATTTTTTTATGTATGCTTTTCTTTTGCTACCCTTGGGAAGATTATTGACTGCAGAGTATGGCACAAATTGAAAAGAAACTGTCAATCTCAGGTTACTATCAATCTCAGTTTGTGTGTAAAGGGCCACTTAATGTACCTTATAATTGGTACATTTAACATATATCAGTATCGTTTTGCACAAAAAGTTAAACATGTCCATTAGTAAGCATTTCATGGAACAAAGTACAAACTGTCTCCATACACCTCTAGGACTAATAACTAAATGAAGAGCAGCAAAACTTGAATTACTCATGACCCTTGATTAGGTGTGCTCTCGGGACGTTTCACTGCGAAGTTACTGGCTCCTGCTCACAAGATTTCTTTACTTTTTTGTTTCCTTTCCTCTTATTCTCTCCCCCTTCTCTCCTTTTCATTTGGCAATCTCTGCAATAAGCATAAGATTCCTTGAGAATAATTTGCAGGCTCCAGATATTTTGTCTGGCCGCAGTAACCACCACGTGCTGCAATTTCAATCTCCTTCTCCTTCCCCTTCTTTCCCTCCAGGGCAAGTACTATATGCAACTACTATATGGGAACCAGACTGCCGATGGATTAGATCCAAGGCTCAAGCCTCAAGCTGGGGCTCCTCGTGTACGGAGTAAACTCTCTCCAGCATCTGGGCTCTAAATACGGACGCTGCTTCATGTTGCTACCTCACTACCCAGTCCTAATGCTGTCCGAACATACTATGTGCATCACATTGTCACTATGAATGCTCTTCTGATACTGTTACTCATCCTTAATGGACAGTTTTTTTTTGTGACAGTCACATGATGAGTCTTGTTGTATAGGAGCTAAGAAGAAAATATCACACCATAGTTGAAAACCTGCTAACACCACCTGTGCAATCACCTCATTAGGACATTAGGACTCAATTTCAGCTACTCATTGAGGAAGAGGTTTATAAAAAGAAAATGGTAATGATTGTGATATAGAGAGGAGTGGAGTTTATTCTATTACTACTAAGCAAAGTAATACAAGTATGGAATGTAAGACAGCCCATAGGATGAAGTAAATTAAAGGATAAATCTATCCAAACTCTAAACCAATGTTTGCTTCTGTTGCATTCAGCCTTTTACACTTTATGTCCTATTTTTCCATAGATTTAATATATATTATGCTTGAAATTCTTAATATAACCTGTAACTATCCACCTTCTGGCAGTAATATGGTAATAATGTCTTGGGTTGGTAAGCCCAGCAATTTCAGCTTATTTTTGCAACTCCAAGCTTTGATAGCATAGCATGGAAATTTACTTCCACATCAGTCAAAAATCAGGTGATAGGATTGACTGGAAGTACCAGGAAAGCATGGTCTTTTGCAAATCTTAAACAGAAACATTTAAGGGAGGTTCTTTTCAAAAAAACATAATTGGAAATGCAGCTGTGCTAGTGGTACACAATTCACTCTTTATTCACGCTTTATCAAGGTACAATGCCAAAAATGGTGAACAA